TAAAAAAGCAGTTTGCTGTAGCGCGAGGCTACATTTCACTCAACACTGCGATAACCTTTCGTATAGATCTAATAAAAGCTCGTGAAACCTCCTGCATAGCCTGTAGATGATTAGGGGTTCACTTTTCTTTGCCCAAATGATGGTGGAATTCTTTGTTAGATTATTTTCAAGGTTTTCTCGTATACTCACTTGAATTTTCTCCATCCATTATTGAACGTGTATTGCACAGAAGTAACTCTAAAAACTGCACATTAGGGATGTTCTTTAGAAATTCAAAACCTTCAAAAACATGGATGTTATCAGGTCAATCTAGTCTTAAAAAGCTAGGGAACGAGGCAAGTGCTCTTCTGCAGCCGCTATTGGTTTTTAAGCATCCATCGACGCGGCAAGTTATGAGAAGCTATAAACCAGTAACGTCAACACTGATTGGCTCAATGTTCAGTAGTAAACAGCGTTCTGGCTTGTCGAGGACACCACTTCTGCTTTATCCTGCTCCGTTGCTCGCACCTTATCCTGTTTAGCAGCAAAAGAGGCTATGCTTCTCTGTTAAGACCTTCACTGATCAACTGAATTTTGATCCTTTCACGCCTCTTCCAACATATTTGTTAAATAATATAACTCATATTTGAAGACTTTTTATTATTACTAAAAGTTTCTATTTCTTTGATCTGAATCCCTTTATTTTTCTTCAAACTCAACTTCTTTTTCAGAAAACACTATATTAAATTTCTATCCAAGATTCAACTTGATCTATATTGCACTGAACGTACCTGGTAACTCAAAATTTACTAAATACGTTTGCAAATATATGACGAAAGTCTTATAATCTTCTAAACATCTTTAAATACTAGCAAGAGCTTTTTCCCTCCCCAGACTGCACGTAATACTAATGTCAGGTTTTTTTCCCTGTGGCTCATCGGCATTGCGTGACTATCAGCCAGTAACTTTGTAGCAAAACCGGCTACGAGCTACTATTTGAATATGAAAAGACTTGAACACTGAAGCGTAGAAGAGAAATCCCTCAAGTTTTTACAGGATTTTTGTAAGGAGGAGGAATTAGCGTTAAG